TGGAATCACTCAATTCTGAGGAAAAAGTATGGAATCACTCAATTCTGAGGAAAAAGTATGGAATCACTCAATTCTGAGGAAAAAGTATGGAATCATGAAAAACAAGATAAACAAAAGACCAATCAAAATACATCAGTAGTATTTAGTTGCACCGCCTTTGGCTTTTATAACAGCTTGCAGTCTCTGAGGCATGGACTTGATGAGTGACAAACAGTATTCTTCATCAATTTGGTGCCAACTCTCTCTGATAGCAGTTACCAGATCAGCTTTGCAGGTCAGAGCCTTCTTGTGGACCATTTTTTATTATTTCCACCACAGGTTTTCAATTGGGATGAGATCTGGACTATTTGCAGGCCATGACATGGACTGAATGTGTCTTTCTCCAAGGAATGCCTTCACTGGTTTTGCACCATGGCACCATATATTGGCTCCAGCTTCCTCCCATTTWTGCTTCATCTGTTTAGTTGTACTTTTTCGTTTTTCAAGACAAATGGCCTTAAGTTGTTTGTCTTGATGCTTTGATGTCTTTCTTGGTCTACCAGTATTCTTGTCTTTAACAACCATTGAGCTGTTTGTATTTGGTCCATGTCTTGGATACAGCTGACTGAGAACAGCCCACATCTTTAACAACCATGTGTGAAGAGTTACCTTCTTCAAGAAGTTTCACAATCCTTTCTTTTGTTTCAAGAGACATTTCTTTTGTTGGAGCCATGGTTCTGTCCACTCCACTTGGTCCAGCAGCCCTCCAAGGCGTCATGACTGCAGGTGTTTTTAACTGCAGACTAACCAGCAGATCTAATCTGAGGCAGGTGTCCATTTAGGGAAAGGAAATTGACTGGGTGTGTCCTTATTTTCTACCTCCAATTTGAGTGATTCCATACTTTTTTCCTCAGAACTGAGTGATTCCATATTTTTTTCCCCTGTGCTTGGTCAATAAAAGTAACAWTCACTGACTTCCACAATGTTTTCTCTTCATTTCATTGAGTGTTCCTGAAAGCCAACAAGTTGACCTTTGGAATAACCTTATTATTGTCTCATGTTTTTGATCTGAGTTTGTTTTACAGAATGAAATGTCTGAATGAGAGCTCATCCAAGACTGCTGATTCCATACCTTTTGCCAGAGGTTGTACTTCAAACCAGTTGTAGACTCAACTATTACTTTCTGAGAGTATTTTTAAAATATGTCCTGTGGTTCAAAAGGTGTTTTGCTAAACACAATAAATAATCTAATAWTGTGTTGTATTTTAAATGACAAAAACAACTTTTTGTTTTCAGAACAAAGAGCAGATGGAGTGAAACACAATGACAAGAAAGAGTGAGTACACTTTGACAAAAGCAGCTTCATTATTCAACTGAAATCAAGAAAAATTCACACAGCTTTCCTGGTATGATTATTTAATGACAGAAAAGTCCCAAAGCAGAAGAGCAAATCAAGAAAATAATTGAATTATTCTATTTTTAAAGTGCTATAAAGGTGTCCCTGAGTAAACCACACACCATGAGTTTATTTTAAAACACCACAGCCTGTTTGTGTCCCTGTTAATGACAGGATTCAAGTACTTCTGCTTGAATACATGCAGGAACCAGGAGGACAGACTCAAGAGAACGTCAGCTCCTGAACAGCTTCCATTCAGAGAGCGTCAGCGCCTCTTCACCCTGGCATCAAGTGCCTGAAGAACATCTGAACACAAGTTTACAAAGAAAATCAAAGAGTTTGGCAGTGAAATTACAAAAGACAGTACCGTGAACAAGGCATGAATACATGTATATTTCTATGGCCTTATTCACACAGTGTTTCTGGACACGTCTTCATCCACACAGAGAAGCAGACCTGTATGTACCACTACTGAAGCAGGAAACAAGGTGTGAAGCAACATTTGTAAGGAACATGCATTTGTGAGATGAGGAGTAGAGCTGTGGGTTGCACACATGAAACATTTGCCAAATCTTTTCTGCCAAACAGCTTAATTTGCTGTTATTATTAACACTTGTTTGGAGCTTATGGACCCCCCAGGTACTGCCAACAGATATTCAGCATTATTAAGCCTTTTCAATGAAAAAGTGAATCAAATTTCTACAAGGTAATGCCAATTGATTACACATATGTAATGTTAAATAAACAATGGAATGAATATTTAGAATTTGGTTGAATTACGAATGTTACTTAAAAAATGWGTGACCAGTAGTGGGCAGCGCTAATCCAAAAATCAACTCCACAATTTCTAAAGTGCTTATGAAAATATTTAGGTCTGCAACTTCAAAAGCACTTATGCCATAGAAAAACTAGCAGAAGYTAATTTTAAAGTGCAAGTTAAATTAGACACTTACTAGCAGATAATAATTCATGTACAATATATGTACAACACTGCCAACTAGTGGTGTATGAACTCTTTACAGATTAATCCTACAACCACTGATTGCTGGGGATGTGATTTCCTGAAACAGACCTTTAGCTCCTGGTGTAAAAATTAAAAAGTTGTTGAGGATTGCTAGTTCGGCTGCTTCTTTTTTTTCTTTTGTTTGTTGTAGATTTTTCATTAAAGAAGCATCAATAAAGTAATTTTAAAACTGCTTATTGGAAAACTGAAGCAATGCATTCTGGGTACATGACGGATTTGATTTGTGATGGGAAACAAAAGCACGGAGTACAGGAAACTATGTTCCCTTCAAAATAAGAGCTTGGATTTTAAAGTTTTCCATGTAGTTGCTCCAGTTGACCACTAGATGTCAGTTGAACCCCGTTGGCCGATTGCTTCGATCAATTACGTCAAGTATTGAGCTCCAGTGTATAAACTTTATTTTTTTTTTTTAAAAAGGAGCTCCGATTGTAAAGTAAAATAAATCAATACATACAAAATTTTAGTATGGATTACAAACAACTGTTTTTGCTATTGTCTTCCTGCTACGTAAGCAGACACAAAGCATTGTGGGAAATGAGAACCGTGACCCAAAGCAACAGTCAGCAGGATGTATACCTTCACAACAAGTGTGTTTATCTGGGAGGGGTGCTGTTGGATAGATCACATGTGTTGTGATTCATTAGTCATACCTTCTGCTGTTCAACATGATGATGACTGGTAGATAATTAGTTATTAGTGGTACTGCATTTTAATTTTAGAAAGCGCAAATCTGCTTATGATTTAAAAAAATTAGTAAAACCGCTAAAGCGCAAGCGACATATTTAGGTCCACAATTAGTGAATTTGCACTTTAGCGGACTGGTGCCAACCACTGGGAGTGACTATTTATGCAACAGCATTTTAATAAACTTTTCTTCACCCACATTTTTTTATTTTATGTATAATCGATGGACATTATATTGTAGTTTATTTTTTCTAACATTTGGTTTGTTTTGTATTGTTGATATTTTTACAAAGACAAAAAACTGTTTTGGTTTTAGATTATTTGGTTTAATAAAGTGTTGTATTCAATGTAACATTATTATCTGTTAAAGTCATAGAGTGAATGAAGGTTTGCAGCTCTACAGGATGTAATCTGTAGTTGTTGTTGTTGTTGTTGTTGTTGTTGTGTCAGTCATAGTTTAGGTTAGAGGAGGGTATATGACATCACGATTTTCTAAAGGCTGTGACGAGGCGGTCCACATTAAAACATAAGTTATTTCAACATTTTCTCTCCCTGAAACCAAGTTTTTAAAAACCACAGAAGCTCCTAAACAGCTGTTTTCAGATGGACTCATGCCTGAACCAGTAAAAACAACTTCCACGCCTCCTCAAAATGCTGCTCCTGTGTGAACCAGGCCTTAGATCTGTAGCATGTAAAACAGTATTTTCATTTACTAACTTTTTCTTCCACAGTAAAAACTATATGATCAGTTTTTTTTATAGATTTTCAAAATGATAGAAAATAAAGTACATTTTTGGAGTCATCAAGGCACAACAACCTAGTCTATGTTTATTATCTGGAAATGATTTGCTGAGCAGAACTGATACCTTTTGATAATAATAAAAGTTATTTAGTGCGCTGGTAAAACTGAACCACTGCCTTCTCCTGTTCGGAAGTTTCTATGGAACCGGGTCGCATTCGGCGGATCTCCTTGATGGCGTCGAGGCCAGAAAGCTTCCTGGTCTTCACCAGGTAGCAGGCCAGCATCGTCCCTGTTCTTCCATGACCGTGCATGCAGTGAACCGCCACACCCTGAGGACAAACACAAGCTTAGTTAAATAAACTGTGACACACCTACATGATGTATTTGTTGCTCACAGAACTGAGACGTGTCAGGTTTTAGTTACCACCCGTCACTAAAGATGAGAAAGTTCTATCCATTTGTTTGATTGTAGTCTTCAAAAATGTGTAAGAAGTTGTACATATACAGTCAGTGGTTTATGAGCTAAATGTTTCAGAAACTACCAAATTTTTCTTTTTTTTAACTCTCAGAAAGGAATCCTTTTGGAATCAACCACATTCAAGATGGCCTCCACAGCTAAGCAACTTTAGCAAACACACAAATGGCTAGGGCTGGCACAAACAATTATTTTTATAATCGATTAATCACMGATTATTTTTTCGATTAGTCGACTAATCRGATCATAAGTTAATTGAATATAAAACATACAGATTATCACACCASAATGCAGCTGCTATTATATAACCATGGTTAGATTTTAGCTATATGCTAACTAAAAATAATTGCTGTGGAAGGTAAGTTCTGCTCTGCAGATATTACACAGGTTTCTCTTTCATTTTCTTAAAATGATCCCACACTTTGAGCTCTGTTGTCAGGTAGCCATGATACCAGAGCCTGTCTGTATAATGTCTTGTGACGTCCACGGCCTACCCCAGTTACCACTACTGTGCATGTGTGTCAAGGACAGAAAGGCAGATGTGGCAGTGGAAGGTGTCAAAGCAGTTTGGAGAGAAAAACAAAGTAAAAAAAAGATTAATCGATTATTAAATTAGTCATAGATTATTTTAATAATCGATTAGTCATTACAAACTCATACATCTGTTTTTAAAAGTCTGACAGTAACCACTTCAGCCAACTTAGTTTTGATAAAATCCAGTGTTTCATGAGACATTTTGCTAACAGACTATTGATTGTGTGTATCTGTGCAAGTGATGAACTTTGCTTGTCTGAAATATGTGATATACACCATTTGCCTGATCGAATTTGCCACCTTGAGATGCACCAGCAGACATTAAAGCAGATGCAAAATTGTTGTYGTCTGCCTGACTCTTTTGCTCCCAAAACAACTGATTACAGGATCTGGATCTCCCCGACAATGGCCTTGAGCTGTTGACTAAATTCTTCCTGGCTGGATTACGTTGATAAAGGCTCTGCCCCACACCTCCCCGCCTCCTCTCTCACACGTCTGATCTGGCTCCTGAGCAGGCTGAAGGCCTCACAGAAGGAACAGTTTCCATCAATATTCTGAACTTTGGCTGCACTGGTTTTGGGGACTGGATTCTTCGGGTCCCCCTAAACTCACTTACGGTACTCCTCTGGCTAATAAATCTGCCCTATGCAGAGGTTTATTTCATAAACACCATAGTGTGTCACAGTGTTGATATAATATGAKGTTTTTGCTTTTTTCCTCATCTTCCCTTGTGTGGTTTTTAGTTTTCTGTTGTGTTGTAGTTACGGTAGCACAACTGCGTTTTGCTGCATGACCGGTCTTAACTGCCACTCCCCACTTCCCTGAATGTACAGCACCTTGTGAATTTATTTCTGTGAAAGGCACTATATAAATAAAACTTTACTTAACTTTACTATATAGTAATTATTTGACAAACTTCTATAACAGACTGCTTGAAGTCAACCATATTTAAGATATCCACCACAGCCTATCAAAATCTGTCTACACATAAATGAATATAACTCTATTTTTTAGATACTGAGCAAATATGGAGTGGTAGTAGCTGAGAGTTCTTCCCAACACACAGTCTGAGCACCTCATACAACACACAGTAAGACCTCATAATATTGTTTGAAACTGCACATAATTACACCTTTCCTATTGTGTTTTTCCAAGCTGCAGAAGGTAGTATAGGCAAGTATCCTTTAAGTATATTAATCTTAAACTTAAAATTAAAGAGTATACTTCCAGTTTACTTTTTATGCACTTATCTGAGATATACGTAACCAAGTTTATCTTAAACTATACTTGGCTTGTACTAAAAGTATACTAAAAATTGAGTATACTTAGTTTATAGTATTGTTCAATGTTTTGGCCAAGATAATTTTTAGCAGTACACTTTTCACACAGACTGATTTATTTGTAGTATATTTCAAGATTAAACTAAAAGYGTACATAGAAGATTACTTTCAGTATACTTTTGAGTATACTTTCATAAACTTGTTGTGGGCAAACTTAGTCCTAGATGTATAATTGTTACTAAACTGCTAGTATACTTATATCATTGTACATAGTAAATAAAAGTACACTTAGGGACATACACTTGTATATAAATATATACAAGTGTATGTCCCTAAGTGTACTTTATGTATACTTCATGCATAGTATGCATATACTGAAGTATACTTCATGACAAGTACTTAAAGTATACTTCTTTTTGGTAAGTTTATAAACATTACAACAGTATACTTAAAGTATAAACTAAAAATGGCCCAAATTCATAAAAACGAGTATTAAATCAATATACTTTCAAGTATACTACAAGTACATGGTGGCTAGTATACTTGATATTCTTAAACTTACACTCAAGTATACTTATTAAAATGAACTTCAAGTATACTACTTTTTGCTAATGGGACCCTGTTGCACAAGACCTGTTCATGCGTTCCCCCATGTGTGTTATGTGTGTCTTTCTCTTGAACAGGTTTCATTCTACAGTGCATCCCTGATGTTATGTTTGAATGACAATAAAGCTGATTCTGATAATTAGAGCTGCCACGATTAGTTGACTAGTCACGATTATTGTCGACTATTTAAAATCGTCAAATAATTTAATAGTTGATGTGTCGTTTTTTTTTTCTAACTTTGTTTTTCTCTCCAAACTGCTGCGGCACCTTCCACTGCTGTGTCTGCCTTTCTGTCCTTGACAAACGTGCAGTAGTGGTAATTAGGGCTGCCACAAACTATTATTTTTATAGTTGACTAAACCAGAGATTCTTAACCTATGGGCCGCGGCCCACAGCGCCATCTTCAGGGCCTCAAAAGAACAACCGTTTTTAACTTTGGGCCGCAGAGGGCCGTGGGATTGATTTTGAATAAGGTGTAATACACTTTCTCACCACTAGTAGCAGTAGTGCACCACCCAGATGTTTAACAACTTTTTTA